AATGTTTGAATTTAGTACCTTTCAGCTCTTTAGGGAAAAAAAAATATTAAATTTATTATAACAGAAAGTAGAATAATATCATGATGTATTTTTATTTTTCAAAAAAATTACACTTGTATTTGGTGTGAGATAGATTCATGAGAAAAAACAGATAGCTACTAGGTTGTATTTAGATATAGGTATGACTACTTATTTTAAAGTTTTATGTATTCAAGTTTCAGCATAATTTTCAGGAAAAATAGCCATAAATATTTATTTATTTGACTCTATCTATACATTGATATGTTGGAATCGTTAGCTAATAAATACAGTGGTAACACATAGAAGATATAATTAGAAAGTTAAAAAATACTGCACCCTGGCTCCTTCTTTCATAGGCTACAAAAACTAAGAGGACCTTTGTAGCTGCTGCTGTTGTTTTAACTGAATCATCACTCAGCTTCTATAATTCTCATCTGCTCATATAACCATAAAGTAAGGCTTACAGAGGGCTTTTTCTGCAAAGGTCAGCAAAATGTTACTAACTTACTTAAGCTAGAGAAATAATCCAAAATGGCATCATTAAGAAGTCTCAAATTATGCAAAACTAGATCATTCATTTTACTTATTAGAGAAGAACGCAATTGGATACTCTGATGTAGTTTGCACCTCCGAAGTTGGTAGGAGTAAAACAGTGTATCCAAAGTGATTTGAGATTGGATATCCGGTACCATGTAATATTAATTTATGCCCTCATAGTTTATTTGCAGTCATATTTCTTGGTTTTATTTTTCTCAAACACATCTTGTGGAGAAATTTGAATCTTAAGAGAACTTGAAACATCCTAGTACATGACCACAGAGGAAGCTATGCTGATTCCAATAAGGGCAGGCCTTCTTGGCATGAATGTTACGAGCAAGAGGAAGTGGAATGATGACATACATACCATTTCAATTACAGAAAAAACAAGTGGGTTGGTCTATCTATAGGCACGATCCTTTTAGGAAATTCCACTAAAAGAAAACAGGTCTTCCTGAAATGAGTGGGAAGGCCTCACACTCCGGGCATTGTAATTAGGTCTGTTTGTGTTTGCCAGGCCTTGGCTCTCTCAAGGATCCATGTGGTTTCACATATTAAACCCGACTCTGCCTGGCCTTTCACCCTGACTCAAATATAATCACTCACAGAGTGAGCCTGACAAAGTTTCCTAAGCATGCTCCACCCAGTGGAAGTGGGATAAAGGATACAGAGATAATTGACATTTATTAAGTGCTTTCTAAATGCCAAGCACTTGCTCAGTGCTTTTAATACATTAATATGTGGTCATTTTTTTTCACAACTATGGGAGGTAAGTAGTATTATCCTTCCACTAAATGAAATGGTCAAAGTCAAGGTGAAACTTTGTATAATTCTAAAAACTAGTCTTTACTCCAAATCATACAATATCCAATATTAGGCCAAGTTATGAACAATATTGGAAAATAATCTTCATCAAATAGAAAAATAAATGTGAACTAGCCATCAATTTGCCCTATTAAATGGTTAATACGTGCAATAACTAGGTGCTAGTATTTTCATACTAAATGTTAAGAAGTCATTACTATAACAGCAGTGTAAACTTATTTGTTTTCTTACTATGAATATACAAAGAATGATTTTACTTAATTTCCTACATTATTAATAAGCTAAAATTGAACTGAAGTTTAAAATCATGTAATATTGAGAAAATCTGTGTAGCACAAGAAAGAAAAAGACAGTGAATTTTGGCATATCATGTCAATCCCATACCAGCGCATTTTCTGAAATCAAAAGTTTGTTCTAACCTCTAACCATCTTAAATTTGGGTTTAGTGGAAATGAGGAGTCTTTTTTTTAAAGTCGTTATATATTAATATGTAAAAAACACAATAATTTCCATTTCTCTTAAGTTTCTTCATTTAAAAATGTAATTCATTTCACTTTTCTGTTAAAACTGAATTTAAACATTTGTTGGCACAACTATAAAAACGTAAATTCAGTGAGTAATATGAAAGTAGGAAAACTCCATTTTTTTAAATAAAGATATTTCAAGATCCAGTTCTAGACAACAGTTCTGTTTCCTTGTTTTTCTTTAGTAGGAACAAATTTTAAATGCCATCTAAAGTAGGGAAACTGATTCTTCCAAAAGAATTGAATTGATTTGAGAAAAGTAAAGTAAGTCCTAGGCCAAAATTATTTTTAATAGCCCTGAAGACCCCTGGAAAAGATACCTTGCAAGGAAATGTATTACTTCTGTCAACACAGATGATTGTGTAGTCTACGCAGATGTTGCAAAACTCATTTATTTTATGCATGAGTGCATAAACATTATGTTTCCAATTTATTCTGTAATGGTATTTAATTTCAGGAGGCTTGTGATTCACAGTCCCCCGGTTCTATCTCAAACATGTCTGCATCCTCCATCTTGCAGCAGTTCTGGTTTCTGCACCCTGTCACATGTAACCTTTGTGTTAATTTGGAAAAATCCATTCTCACGTTTAGTGCTGAGAGACTGATAACTGAATTCTCAAATGAACTGCACAGTTTCAGAGATGAAGTACAGAGCTGTGGACAATGACTGGTTTTCCCACAGTGTAAATTCTTCAGATTCAGCTGTCAGCATGTGAGTGTGCTGCATAAAAGCAGCTTTAACTTGATGACTTTTTCCCTCCAAGGCCATAAAAATGAAATGGATACTGTACTCTCCTTTATGTTATTCCATCTTCTAATGAGATTTTTGTGTCCCATGGACAGTGAAAACCTATATGCCCTTTAGAGTTCTTAGTAGATCAAAGTCTCCTTTGAATAAAAAACAAGCATTTTCCCTCCCACACAATATCCCTCTGATATTTCATTATCATAACAGAACAGAGAGTAAGGTTAAAAGAGAGTTTTTCTACTAATTTTGCCTCCATATACATCCTAGGTTTAATAATTGACAGTGGTTATTCTAAAATTGTCCTTCGGGCTTTTGGAATTTTTCTCATACATGTCTCTTTACCCTAGCATCTTTTTTCTTTTTTTAATCCTTGGTGAGGCTTCCAATTTCTCAGATGGTCACCCAGGCACTGCTATGCCTTCTTTACTCCTAGCAGGGGGAGGGGGACTTGGCAATATGTCCAATCTCCCTCGAGATTGAATCACAGGATTCGTATTCAATCGTGAATGATCTTAGGCATCATCGACATTTAAAACAGCAATGGGTAAATGATGCCACATTTTGAGGAAACTTGAGAGAGCAAGAAATAAGGGAAGCTAAGAGAAGTGACTGTTTTAAAGAGAATGACAAATACCGCAGGGGTTCTCTATATGAATGTTGATTCAAAACTATAGGAAGTTATGAGCGACCTTTGGAGAGAGAGTTTCATGGGAATCAACGGTTGTGAGAAAGTCAGGTTGAAAGTGGCTAAAGTTGGTGTAAATGTTGAGGACACAAGTCACAGCCAGGCTGTGAACTCAGACATGTAAAAACTTCCTGGCCTGCCACGATTAAGAAGGTTTTGCATGAGATCATTGAGCAATATTGCAGGTCAGGGAAGAAATTAGTGGTGAAAAAAAGATAAAGACAGCAAAAGAAATGTAAATTGGGTAAATTTATGAAAGCACATCAATGCAATAGAGAGCGAAGGCAGAAGGGCCCAACAAGGAAGTAGGTGTGCCTTTGTCACTAACAGAACATGAAATATACCAAGATGATTGGAAATGCTGTTACACAATGCAGGACATGCTGAGGTATGTTTTACGTTTTAAATAATCAATTTGAAGTATAGGATAGATCAGAACAAAGGTGGTCACACACTACTCATGGTCTCCTCAAGTTTCAGTGAGGTCTACAGGTAGACTTGCAATTTTTCTTTAACACACCAATGAAGGATAGAAGTGGTAATTTAGGTTTTGGGGTTCCCAGAAGTAAGCACAGAAAAACAAGTATGGCAGAAATTCAAAGAGTGAGATAATCGAGCATCTTATTGAAAACGTGGGAGAACTGTACACCATAAGCTTCATTCCTATTAATGAAGCGTATGAAACCAAGAAAAAGTTCGTGGAAGTAAGAATAGTGATTGGGCAGGTTTATTTTATAATTCTGAAGGTAGATATAAATATAGATAGTTAAGTAATAACAAAAAAGTGATAATATAATATGGGCCATTATTAACAATCTTTTATGAATGTGTAAATGGATAATGAAAAAAATCAAACTCTAGATAGAAGAATATATAATAATTATTTGGTTAACAATCTGAGTAAAATATTATGTATTTATTTTAGGCATATAAATTTTGTACAATTTCTGCTACACTGGAATTATTTATATACTAAAAAGAAAAGAGAGAGAGAGTAATAATAACAATAAAGTATCTACTTGATCAAGTAGTCAAGCCAATGCCTGAAGTTCAGGAAACTGAGTTCTTGACCCCAAACTTTTACTACTGGGTAGTATTATTCCAATGATAAAATATTGGCCTTAATTTCCTCAACTTTAAATGGAAGGGCGGTTTTAGGAAGATTAATTGTGAATCAATAAAATAATGATATAAAACCTCGTTGAAATTTTGGAAACACTATCAATGTAATGTTATTAGCACTGCAATTTTTTGTGATGTTCATTGACCTATATGATGATGACCTCAAGGCAATAATGAGAGATGTGGAGGAAAAAAAATACTACACTGTGAGATTATTGTGGTGTCCTTGTAAGACAGGATTGGTAAGTTGTCTTATCTGTTTCCACTGCCTCCCTTCCGCAGTTCCAGCCCAGATCTCTTTCTTTCCATAGTTAACTACTGAGAAGCTTCAATTATGGCACAAAACAAATATTTTCCTGAATTTTTAATCTCTCTTTTTGCCCAACTTTCTCACACCCACAGTCATGAAGTCACCACCATTAGCTTAACAGGGTACCAGATCTCAAGTCGTATTGTATGGTCTATAAAAGGAAAGCTCCCCAAAGCCTTCATACATTTACACATGTTACCTGCCTCACTTCTTGCCAGCTCCACCTACCGTTGAGCCACCTGGAATCATGCTGCTCTGTCCTGATCGGGTGGTGGTGCCCAAGGGTTCGGAAGATGGCAAAGTCTCGCCCCATAAAATCAGCTGCAGTTCCAGAGTATAGTTCTCCATCTGTGTTGTGACAAAATAAAACCACATACACAGTGTTAATTCAATTAAGGCAGGGAAAAGAAAACAAACAAACAAAAAATACAAGTTCTATATTATGAGCACACTGAAAACAGAAATACTCACATAATTATACAAAGCTACTTTTATTTCATTCTATGTCCTCACTAAAGAAGTATTTTATCAAATGATGATTTACTGATTATCTGACTACTCATTTTAGTACTAATTTAGAGAATTTGAATAAAATCTGATCAGTAAACATTGGTAAAACGTGAAATTTTATTCTTTTCCACTATGACCAGTGACAAACTTACAAAATGCAAACTATATTACATCATTTACTTTTATATGTATAAAGCTACTATGGTTTTAATATCCATAGTTAGGAGGGTAAAATGCCATCATAATCTTGCTTATAGCTTCTATTTAAATTGCAATTAAATCTTTTATATACTTCTTTTTTCAATGGGATCTGAATTAATGAGATTTCTGTCTAATTTAAGAAGGACTGATATTTTCTTAGCCAATTTTTTTCTTGCTTCTTATTTTTTAATACATCTAATGGGAGAAGTGTTCTAACTTGTTATAAGCTATCATACAGTCCAAAAATCAGTCCACCACATGGCCTTAGATATAATAGAAATGTGTTTGAAGAAGAGGAAATTTTGACAAACCTAGGATATAATCACTGCAGTTCAATATCCTGTTGCTTTTAGACTCATTACTACTTAAATTGAGTTAACTCTAGGTCAGAGATTTATATTGGAAGAATCATAACCAGAAGGTAAAAAATAGGAGAAAAAAGAAAGAGGAGTTAATATTTTCTGAATACCACTCTATGTTTGTCAGGCAGTCAGGCACTGGCTTGACACTTTCAAATTATCTCATTTAGTTCTGTCAACAACCTCATGACATAAATAATGTTATCCCTACTTTACAGTTCAAGAAACCCAAGGTTCCTTAGCTAATGAACAGGAAAGTCAAGGTGAAGGTTCAAACCCAGGCCTGTTTAATCCCAAGCTTTTTACACTAAACCATACCAGCCTTCAATAAATTGAAGTCTGTAAAAATTATATTTTCTTTCCTTGAAACAGACTGAGTCTCATATTATTTCTTCCAGAAAATACATAATCGCCTCCTTGCTTAAATGAATGATTGGTGAAACAAAATAACAAAAGTGATAAAAATTTTCTTCAAATAATCCATGATAAAAACAGCAAACCTCAATATTTTCTTGTTGATTATTTGAATATGTCAATATTTTTGCATTCCTTGATTTGAAAAATAATCAGAAAATAAAGAGGGCACAGATAAATTAAAACTTAAACACTTGTGTAACACTATCATTTCCCAGTACTTTTATATGAGGTAAATGGAAAACTGTCTATGAATCTGCAGGTATAAATGCTTTGGGGAAAATCTTATTAATCTGATTCTTTATATAATATTCTTTGTTTACATCTTAAATTCTCAGTGGCAAATAATGACTTGGCCATGCAAGAAAGACTTTCTCAGTGGTCCAACCCAAAGGAATTCCTTCGGTAGAATCTGCACCTCTCTGATGTGTTTGAATGGACATGATTCTGCAGACCCTACAGAACAGCGGAGAATGGCTACACAGAAAAATAAATTAATTAATTAATAACTGAGCAACAGCAAGTCATGACCCATATACAAAGATAGATATTTTATTTTGAAAACAATTAAAAAAATGATCATTTATTTTAGATTGTTGTTACTTAAGGTAAGTAAAAATAGTTGTTGGACAATACTGAATATTAAATAAATAGTACTCATAGGCCATCCTAAATTGTCACAGTATGGTATTTTGGGAATTGAAAAGCACCTGTATTCTCTTCACTTAATTAAATATCAACTGCAAATTTGACTTATCTGACTTACTCTCACTAAAATATGATGTAATAATATTTCACCTGACCACAGGTAAAGAAATACCCTTTTCTAAAAGCACAAAAATACTATGAATAAGCTATTTATAAATTTCAAAGGCTTTGAAACATTTAAATGCCTATTGTCTTCTTAATATTAACCTATATTCAATTACTGTATCATTTTTATTGAAGGTAATATTGTATCTGTTTACAAAGAATTGATAAGTAGATATCATGTATTTTTAAACATCAGGTGATAGATTTTTCTTGGTCTATGTGATTAAGAGGGTGTTAGTAAAAATGTGTTGTGAAAGCAGCCTAAAATGGTCATGCTAATTCCAAATATTTTCATGTCAGAACAACTGTGGGAGGATGCTTTGTGTCCTCGTTACCTTGAAAAATCAAAAGCATTAAATGATTAGTTGAAACTAATTGCCTCTGAACCACATGTTGGATGATGAAAATCAGGAAAAGTGAAAATAGAAGACACAAAAAATAAAATACTAACAATTTAATATCAGCATAGTCAGATAGGCCAACAGGAGTTTTAATCAGAAATGGAAGAGTAAAAACAAATGCCATTGATTAATCATTCTTTTTGTCACTTAGCTTGTTTCAGGGTGAATAAAATCCATAATTATGACTGTTATTACATATAGTCCATTCAGGACGGAGTTGAAATAACAAAAACAGCAACAACCAGAAAAAAACTGTTACTTAAATAGAGAAGGATGTTTATTTCACTAATTCATTAGTTTGGTTGTTTCATATTTTCTTTTTTATTCACTCTCACATGAGGAAGACAAAAATCAACACAAATGAAGGTAAAGGCAGCAAGAATAATTTTCTTTCTTTTTTCGTAACAGGAAGGTCATTCAGAAAAAGTAGAAGAGCTACTCACTGGGAGGGCTCTTGACTCAATTTATTACTAAGAAGAATCAAATTAAACAATTGACTTATAAATCAAAGGAAGGTTGCAGTTTAGGCACCAATTGCCTCCAGCCATAGGAAATAACCTCCACCTGAATATTATTTTTGGCAAGGGTCAGGGTGATTTTCTTGAGTGGGAAGGCAGCACATGCTCAGGTGGCCATGAAGGGCACTTTCTCATATTGTCCATGCTCAATGTCAGTAACTGTTTTTCTGCATCAGGCCTTAGATCAGATTTCCTGCTGAGATTTCTATAGGGATTCTTATTAGGGATGATTGCTCCAGATAAGGTATGACATCTTTGTTGCTTTTGCCCCAAAATTTAGGTTGTTGAATATCCTACTCTTGCTTATTTCTCATGAAGCAGAAATATAACATCAACCCAGAGTATATGCCATTTAAATACACTTGAACATTCTCACCATGTATTCTGTGGCTATCTTAAATGATCTAAAGATATCTGACTATTAGAAATTTTCTATATCTCAGTGGGCTAAGTTCTGGAGAACAGATATGTTTAGTAAAAAATCCTACTTGCCAAACTTCTTTTGCCATTTCTAGGTCACTTATGAAGTTGTCAATTTATATATTGATTTTTAAGCATAGTGATAATTTGACAATTTTCAGACCCTAAATGTAACTCTTCTTGAAAATCTGAAGTAGTATATTAGGTGAATGTTATTCCACAATGATTCAAATGGCATTATGTTTGAGATACACACTTTTGGGCTTTTCACATATAAGCCACTAGTGAAAGAAACATGACATTTGTCTACTTTTATTTAATTGATGGTAGAGTAATATGCTCAATGAACATATATAAAAATAAAAAAATAATAAAAAAAAACTGTTTATGGATACTCTGTCCAAAAGGATCTTTAAGTCTGTGAAAACACCACATGGGCAGTATGATGTCTTAAAAGTAACATATTGAATTAAGATAAATTAGTGCTTACAGATGCAACTAACCATCTAGGAATGGTCAAACAGGAAAGTTGCTATTTGAGTATACCATCATTCTTTCTTAACTGTAAGCTTTCTTAACTGTCTCTAAGGAAAGCATACTTTACTGAGATGAACAAAAACGATTTTGTGAACTGCATTTCCACCAAGGCTGAGTTACCTGAGAAGCATGCATTAAAAACCAACATTTATGTGTACTCTGAACTTTCTGTTCACAGCTCAAAATGAAGTAAAAATGTGGCTCAGATCAGTTAATGTATTGGATTACAATTCCTAAGAAGGGTGTGGTGAGGAGAAACAGAAGGTGAAAAAGCATTTCCTGATAAAATTACAGCATTACTAGCACAGGTGAAAAGTGTGATAGGCATGTGAGCAAAAATCAAACAGACCTAAAGACCAAGCCATTATGTTGTTAACACCTTGAGTAAATTCCATTCACAGAGTAACAGAGTAATTAGAAACAGAAGGAAAGAAAATAAATCTCTCTCTCTCTCTCTCTCTCTCTCTCTCTCTCTCTCTCTCTCACACACACACACACACACACACACACACACACACACACACACAACACAAGGATGAAATCCACTTCCTGGGAGTGGAAGGATGTGGAAGTAATTTTACATTTTTGTGTTTATGGAGCACCTTCCCTATATCAATGAAAGCAATATGCTGGCTTTGTTACTTATGCTGTTCTTTTAAAACTAACATTTTTTGAGCAGTTAATTCAAGGGTACCTCAAAAATTCCTGGAAAGATTTCTATTATCTTTTAATTCCATTTTTTCGTGAACTTTCTGAAGGATCCTTTCATGAGCACGTAGTACAAATTTTAAAATATAAAATGTATAAGGTCCCAAATCTGCCTCCCAGCCTGACTACAGTCAACCAGTGCTATCATTTTGTTGTTTGTTTGTATTTCACATATATTTCAGAAATACGCAAGAACTGGAAATAGTAGTACACTATTACATTATCTTATCTCATTTTCATGAAAAATTGGTGGAATAGGCATTTCCATACCATTTTATATACAAGGAAGTTGAGGCTCAGAGAGGTTCAAATAATTTTCTTAACTATATTTAATCAGTTTAGGGAGTATCTTGCTTGCTCTAATATCATGTGAGAGCACTTTCTAATGTCAAATTGTGCTCTTTCCTGAAGCAAGGTAGAATTCCAGCTTGAGGATATAAACCTTAGCTAAAAGTCCCCAGACTTTTGAAATAGATCTAAATGATATCTCTTAGTGATGGGGTATTTCTAAATTATTAGTGCTACATTACTTTGAAAAGATTTCAAAGAGGAAATAAAATTGTTCTCAAGTTGACTATTCCTTTCACATCATGAAAATGCGAGATGGTATTTAATTAGTGTGGAAAATACTGAGTTTTATTATTGTGCTGTGTTGACACCTGGCATTTATTCTTAGCAAGGGAGCAACTGCTATCTTTTAAAAAGACATTTCAATCAAAGTCATAACAATATTTGCAGGTGGATGAAATAAGAAATATTTAAAAAATAAATACTGGTGCAATTTTATATTGACAAAATGATTGTCCTTACAAGAGATTAGAAAAATTAACTTAACTAAGGTGATTTTAAAGTCAGAGCATGTTATAGAACCTGGGGACTTAACTCAGTAGCCATGCACTTCTCAGGAGAGAATCCATATTTTCCACAGTCATCAGCTTAAAAATCTACAGCATTTTGGAAAGAGGTATAGTAAAACTTGATAGTTTCAGAAACTAAATTTTTTAAGCTGTCATCTGGTTTTAAAATTCACTACTGGTTGGGCTGGACCCGTGGCTCACTCGGGAGAGTGCGGTACTGGGAGCGCCGAAGCCACGGTTCGGATCCTATACGGGGATGGCCGATGCGCTCACTGGCTGGGCATGGTGCGGGAGACACCAAGCCGAGGGTTACAATCTCCTTACTGGTTCAAAAAAAAAAAAAAATCACTACTGGTTGAATTTGCTTCCTACTGAGATTGGTGGTATAAAAAATATCTGCAGCCAAGATCTATCTAGCCAGTTTACAGATGGTTTAAACCAAACCTGGAATTTGTTTTCTCAGTATTGGTAAAGGAAGCAGTCTGGACCCATGTTAAAATTTCTATCTTATGTACTGAAATGAGGAGAATGTATCCAAAATCTTTTGGTAAGATAGGATTTGCCAATGGCTATTTTATGATATACAAAGTACAACCTGTCTATATCAGAGACAGCTGTTAGCTTTGTAGGTAAGAGTTTGGGAAGTGCTATAGAAAGTGGTTTTGTCAAAAGACTTCATAATACTAGTGAGCGTTCTTTTTAAAGAGGGATAAGAGAAAATGCCAAGAAAAACCCAGCACGGGGAATTAAATGTAATGCAAGAGGAAAGATTTATAGCATACTTATAAAGAAAGCAAATAACCTCAGTTAGGCAAATAACCTCAGTAAAGGGAGCTTTTGGATTAAAATGGTGTTGTGGGTATTCTGAAGAAGTTTATCAGGTCTAGTATGGCCTATTTCTTTTTCCATAACTTGCTATTCAACTGATTAAAAAATTAATTTATTTGGCCTTGTCAATAAGCACTATATGCCTCTAAAGTTAGTAAATTTTTACTGTATTGGATAGCTAAGGTCAGAACTTCTGTTTAAAGGTTGTATATGCCTATTCTTTTCTAGCCACACATTCTTTCCTTGACTTGCTGAACTTCCATCATTCTCTTTTCGTTTTCATAAACCTATGTAGCTTTTTCAAAGAAATTCTAATATAAAACCCAAACTGCGGAGTTTCATATTCTTTGTGGATGTTGTGTGGTTGCATACCATACGGACTATGTAATACCTACTTGTCATCATCCTTTCTCAATGGAATATTAAAATAAACAATCAAGCAAATCCCTACTGAGAAACTTACCACAAATTAAAGCTGCTTTAGGCAAACTTTTATATTCTGCTTTTTGGGAAATATTTATTCTCTTTTTCAGTGTGCAATTTAAAGAAGTATATGCTGCAAGTTTGAACAAGGTATGACTCCTCCTCTTTGTTTAAGACAACTTTGAAATTTCAGCATGTACTCTTGAGGAAGTCATCCACATGTAATCAGCAGGCCCTCTGTGAAGAGGAAAATTATGTGTGCTAAATTTGCTGCATTCCTTTAAGTATTAAACTTTTGTTAAAGTGCTGCCTCAGTGGATCAAATGGCTAAAATTGTCGACATTTGAAAAGCAATAGAGCAGATAATTCATGTTACAATGGTTTTATTCTTAATAGAACAGGGCTCAGTGAAAAACAGTGATAAAGTAAACCCTAGAGAATACTGGAAAACTACATCTTTGGGTTTAATGCAGTAGTCAATATGACCTGAATTTAATTGTCTTGATTATGGGAAAAGTTTTTTTGTAAAAAGAAGAAGATGAAAAACTTTATAAACTAATGACACATCAGATAATCCCCTAAATTTAATTTTTTAAAATTTTAGATTTATCATTCAAAATTCAATTGGAAATTTTACATTTGATAATTTTCAGTATTATTATTTTATATTTTATAAGAAAGAAAACAAAAACATTTCCACATGATTATACAGAAAAATATATTCAGGAACAGAATCATGATCCAGAATCTTTTGTGTTTTAGGTTGTTGGTATGCCCAAATGCAAAAAAAAAAAAAAAAAAAAAATCATTTCATGACTAAACATTTTTTGTGTGTTTATTTTACCCCAGTTTGCAAATGGTTAAAATGTTGTGAAAAAAATTTCTTTATCTTTCAATACATACTAAAGTTATCTTCCACTTCTACTTACTTCTTTCTTTCTATTTCTATCCTTTTAAAATATAACTAAGCATTTCTCACCCATCTGCAATGCTGAAGGAAAAAAGGAAAGAAGAAAACTAGAAAAGAAGATGGTTAGAGAAAAGGATAGTGAAAATCACATAAAATGTTTTGCTAGAGTTTTAAAAAGACCTAAAGTCACAAAAGTGAATGTGGAATGCATTCCCGAGGACAGTATATCTAAGACATAAGTATGAATCAATGCAACATAACCCAATAGGGTCTTTGCCAGTTGCCCCACCATTCAGGCTGACTGTACTGATGAGGTTGTCTAAATGTTGAGACAGTGAGTTATCTCGTACTACAATTACCAGGATAGAATGAATTGCATTCTTTATAACTTGTCAAAATTCCTTATCTAAGCATCTTTTCATGAAATGAAAACCAAAAATATTTTGTTACAAAATAAACATTTGAACTTCAAATGGGGATTTGTAGTGGTTGAGCGGGCCATCTTATAGATATTGTTAAACCATTTGGATTAAAAATAATCCGGCTAGATAGTGCAATAACCAAAACAGCACTTAGTTTTCTCTTCATTTTCAAAATGTTTGAACATATCACAACTAATGTTCTCCTAAAATCATGTATGATTAATAATGAAAAATCTAGGTAGATAAAAAAGAATCTGGTTATTATTTATAGAAATTTCACTATTTGATTGTTTACTACTCACCTATTAAAAGAGATGCTGTCAGCAGTTTCGGGTCATATGGGCTCTTCCCACGGCCATTTTCAAAATGCGAGTCCTCCAGCTTAAAAATGTTGTCCTATAGATTTTTTAAAAAAAGAGGGAGCGTCATTATTTATAAAAATAAATATTTTCTGCATGTCACTTAATCAGAGAGGTAGAGCAACCATGTCCAACAGCAAGGAGTACTTACATCCACCTAAACTTTAGAGATGCAAAAATTATTAAGTGGATGGAGACGTAGCTTTTACTAGCCAAATATCTACTTAGCTTGACAATCTTTAGCAGCAGTTAGCATGTTGCAAGTAATAATGTATAAATGAACTCTAAAGAACAGGATGTGTCAGGATAACAATAGAGTGATCATTTTATCACATAGACATGCTAAAATCTAGCCTAATGGCTCTTGAAGAATTTTAAATTTAAACGTAATGACTCATTTTCTTCCTTTATAGAAAAGAAAGATAGCAATTCACTACATTAGCTGTCTAGAATAAATTACACTACCTTACTTTTCTCTATGTACTTTCCAGAAGGAAATGATAAATAGTGATAGCAGTCATTTCCCCTGCTCTGTCCTTTGTACAACTTTGGTGTTTATGTGCTTCTTAAGTGTTTTTGAGATACATCAGTAACAGGTAAGGTACCTGAAACTATCCTTATCTGCCTCTGAGAGAGGAAGCCTAAACTGTATGTTAGGGGTACTGTGCCTGGAAGTGGTGCTATTAGAACAACAAGCACATTTTTATCACAGGGGCCCAAGTACCCAGAAACAAAAGAATAAACTTTTGACTGCACATAAAAATATGCACACATTCTGAGGCAGAATATGTGCAGGAAAACTAAAGAACAAAAGCCTTAATAAGAAAGTAACTAATTCATGACTGAGACCCTGTTGTCAAAATGTGTCTAGCTACTGCAACCTATAGGTGACAGTGGAATAGATTTGGGGACATTTCTGAGCACTCTTTTCAGAACCAGGTGCCCTGGGACTTAATTAGGTCAAAATATGTATGCTTTTTCCAGTAGCCCATTAACTTGTTCGTAGACTGAAATAAAATAGCTTTTTTGGCAATTTCTCTACTATTCACATAAAAGTATTTTCTATCTTCTTAGGACAGTAAATGGTGTACATTTTATGGTCAATAAGGATCACTATATTTAATATTTAATATTTCTGATGGAACTAATGGCAGGGTTTCAAGTTATGACTCTTAAAACTCATTTGAAATAGAGGGGAAAGTGAAAAAGGAAGCAAACCAAAAATGTTCTCCAATTTTATTACTGTGAGTGAAAATTATCAATGCTATCCTTTCCTTGCATGGATTCTGCATTTGGTAATTAGCTGTCCCCTAGCAAAGACAGTTCTTCAGCTTAGTTCTAAAATTTACACTGTGCAATAGTTTATGGGCTTTCACAGAACTGTGCTTAGTAGTAGTGGTGAGACAGGCAAAAGGACCAGCTGGGCAAATAATCAGCTCTGGTTCTTTGGTCTTCATTTCATGTCTCTAAGCCTCCGGTTCCCAAAAGTCAATGCAGATAAGGATATTTTAGCTGACACATTTATTGTGGGGATTAAAAAAATTATATAAGCATTTTTAAAAAAACAGTGCAAAGTAAAAAAAAAAGTGCAATTTATTTTTTTATTCTATTAATAATGCTTGTATTACCACTATAACAAAATAATATAAAATTTTAACAGTTATTACCATTGTGGACAACTTTTCTAAATAATGTGAAAGACACATTACTTAAAGACACTTGCATGAATCACCAAACTCCAAACTTGTTCACAAATACAAATTTATCATAGGCACTTCCATGTTAAAATTATAATATGAAACTTATTGACTTAGGCTAACAAAAAACATAGAAGAATCATTTAAGAAATATTTAGATGTATACATATTTGGATTAAAAATTAGTAACCAGTGAGAAGGAAATATAATGAAACATCTACACTCTACTTCCACAAATCATAGAAAATACTATTAAAATTTACATAAGTGGTTATTTATTACAGGTTAGAGGAAGCAGCAGGGAAAAGTGATGGAGTAGTGGAAGATATGATTATAAATACTATTATTTCTCGTACTCATAAGACATTTTACAATACTGACAAAGATAGAGGAGGTGTCCTCTCAACATATGACACTTGATGTCTGGGATCATGTGTCCAAGTTATTCAGACAATGCCAAGGTGGAGAAGTACTTCCAGTTTCATGTAGCATTTGATTTACAAGGTAAAGGATTGGACTTCTTAGGAAGAGAGGTTCAGAAGCGTGTAAGTTATGGTTCGAGAGAAGATGAGACTGTTTCCTTCATCATGATGTTGGGTAACATGTTCAAAGCTGCTATTCCTTTCCTCTCCTCCTTTTTGTTTGACTTCATACATAAATACTAAGTCAATCATCTCTTTTTCTGCTACACAGCACAATATCTTTCCTTTAAATGAAACTCTTACCCAAATTTCTGGGTCTCTATACTGTAAGTCTTTTATATTCTTATATAATTCTACAGGGGACAAAGCTAATTGAATTTCCTTTCCAACCTAGTGAGATGGTGGTCTGGAATAAATGTAATTTGATTTCTGCATAGGGAAGTAAAATGACATTTCTTGTACACAAATGTTTGCAATATAAAATTCATACCCATTAATTGTAGTTATGGGGCACAGGGATGTTTAAATGACACAGAACTGGATGTTATACCTGGCTCTGCATTTTATTAGCTCTGAGCCTCAGGCAAGTCTTGACACTGTTATGAAACTAAAATTCCTTATCTGTAATAGGAGGATAAAAAAAAATCTCGTAGTTGATGTGAAGATTTATTGCAATGGTATATATAAAACATAATTAGCATCCCCTCAAAAAGCATTAATTAATTTCCCTTTCCCACTGTTTATAGTGGTTACATAAACCTTCTGTCCTATATTGATTGAAATCTCTCGTGCCACAGTGGAAATCTCTGACCAAATTTTTTCATCAGTGAAAATTACGACAGGTGTTAACAATACATGTAAATTTTTGGCTTCCTACAATGTACTGAGAATTGTTCTTTTGTGTAGGTAAATGAGAATCTAGTTGAAAATCTTTCCTGAAAAAAAATGTCATTTAATATGAATTATTTTTTCTTAATATGTGATTTTTTTAAAAAAATGAACATAACTACCAACCTATTAAAATATTTTATTGGGAATCTCTAAAAGTTACAACATCATTAAATAGAAGCTGTACAAAAATTGTCAATTAAAAAAGAGGGTGCTTTTTAATGTGATTGATAAACTTAATGTCATTGATATAAAGAGACACCAATATTGCTATTTCTGTTATCTATTAAGGAAGACCTTTTACATGTGTTAAGATATTGACCTATTGTAAAAGAACATTGTGTTAATATAGCTGTATATTAACATCCTATATTGTCATATGTAATATATCAAGTAGATCACCGTCTGGCTCTACTTGGAATGCTTTTTGAAATCCGTTTGCTAACCAATGTTTTCCTATTTTGGAAGAGTGTAAAATAGATCACATATGCAAGTAATAAGACTGAAAACCCTAAGACCAATGTACACAAACTGTATAACTTATATGTCTTACTTGAGTTGAAACAGTTTTCATTTTTAGTAATACATGAACAGAAATCTAGCTGCACGGATTCTAATTGCTTTAGCAGATACTATGAACATATCATATAAGTTATTGTGCCATATTTTATTACACGATTGCATCAGTTTTCAACAACTGTTTTTAGCTTTCAAGATCATACTTTCCCCTTTGTCTTTTGGATTTCCTGAATGTTATTAGACTGTGGTGAGGTAAGGCATTAAAGGAAATAATAACTGTGCTAATGTCTAATCCAAAGTCTTATAAATTATAAACCATTGCTGACATCATGACAATAAATTTCCTAAATCTCAGTCTTGTCCAAGTAATAAATTTAGGTAAAAAAAAGTTGTAATTTTAGTTGTTTTATTTAATGATTACACCATAAATGATGTTTGTAAAAAAGGAAAATAAAAGAAACCCTACATATTAGTGATAGGATGAATATTTGGGGTAGGAAATTACATAAAAGTACGTGAAAACTGATACTTCAGCAGCATTTAAAGAATGTAGCTTACTATATTTTTAATTGCTCTTTCTCTCTTCTTGCTCCTTACAAAAGACACCTTGTATGCCATTTATACTGAATTACTGAGTATTCCCTGGTGATACCACGCTTTTCTCATCTCTGCCTGAAACCCCTTCCTTCCTCCCTCTCCCACCCTCAGCCCCCAACCCCAGGATGACCTTTCTTTAAGATTAAATTCAAAACTCACTTCCTAGGAGAGGTCTCCAGAAATTCCTGCAGATATAATTTATTAGTTTTCCTTTGTGCGTGTCCTAATTAACAATAGTATATAGGCAATGACTATACAGGGTAAAACTACTGGCTTCAGCAAAGAAAGGTTGTAATAAGATCTCACAGGAAATATTGTGGCATACTCCTTTGCACTTTGACCAAAGGAGATCCTTTTATGGATCAAATTTATCCGGAATTTACTTTTTCTAAAAAGTTGACTCTAGATCTGCACTGTGAAATACTATAGCCATGAGACGACACATGTGGTTATTTAACTTAAATTAATTAAAAAGGAAAAATTGCATTCCTCGGTTGCGTTAATCACATTTCAAGTGGTCAGTAGTCTCATATGGTATGGCTTGTAGCTACAATACTGGATAGAAGCAAATATACAACATTTCCATTGTCACGAAAGTTCTATTGGACAGCCTGGGTTTGAATCTTTAATTCTATGACCGTAGCAGTACAGAGTAGAGAGTCAGCAGACAGAGGACCCCCAGAGAGAGAACTCTTGACATGAGACCACAATCACAGTAGAATAAGCTCATGAGATCTACGAGAAGAGATCATATTAAAACATCAGTTTAATTAAAAAAGAATTAAGTCAGGCATTATGCGAAGTGATATTTAATAGCAGTACAGATGAACAAATGTACACCCTTTGTTTTCTTGTATGTCATTCTTTTTCAATTAAAATTAGTTTTCTGTAGTCTATGCAGGTACAAATTTTAC